AGCTTTCTGGGCTCCCAGACTCAAACACTTCTCAGTAACCTGGGAGTACAAATTAGAAAAACTCCACATAAAATACAGTCTAACATATTTATTGTGAAAGCATCTGATATATGTTTTATTACCGGTATATATATTTTGTCCATGTATCTCATTTACGTTTTTGCTTTTAATCAGCATTTTTCATTTTACTTCAGCATTATATGGCAAAATAAGCAGTAGTACTAAAAAACTGAGCAAAAAGACGAGAACTGACCTGCTGTAAAACCTTCTCCCTCCTTGCTGTGATAACAATCTGAGCTCCAAAGCGAGCATAATGATATGCCATTTGTTCACCGATGCCTGAACTGGCTCCTGTCACCAACACCTTGGCACCTTTGAGAGATGCTGAAATATAAATAATGGGTATAAGAAGAAAAACAAACTTTATTAGTAAATGTTGAATGTGAACTTTTATCTGTTCAGCACATTTCAGTAACATGACAACTCAAAGGGCTTTATGTGAACAAAACATAAGAAAAGAAAAGAGGAAAAGAGATTGCAGTGGGGAAGGAGAGGCAGTGAAAGAAAAATTGGGTTACAAACTTAAAGTAATGATGTTTCAGTTAGGAGTTCACTTAGGGTTTCAGCACTTTTACAGATTTTTTTTCCCTCCAGATTAGTGGAGCATGAGAACTACATGGTTTTGGTTCTGGACTTTCAGAGTAGACTTTGGCCAGAGGTCCTGGCAGTTAATACACTAACAATAAATCTGTAGTGTATTCTGCTGCTAAGCCATTCAGTAATTTATAAACTAAAAATATTCTCAAATCTATTCTTTCATACAAGGAGGGAGTGAAACCAAAACACAAAGTTGACAACAATATCCAATCTTCATGATTCCTGCATATATACCCCCCCACACCACCACCACATCCCCTCCTCTCAAACACTTAAAAGATTTTGTGTTCATATACATAGTTACACATTTCCAGCAGATAACCTTGAACACAATATAACTGTTATCTCAGTATGCACTTACATTGCATCTTCAATCTTTTAGGAGCAGTATTACGAAAAGATATGCCAGGTATGGACATGTTTTTAAAGTTGAATGGCATTATTGTCATCCATATACATTCGTGGGTATAAAACCTTTTTTGACCTTGAGCTGTGCTTGCAGCTTGGATCTATTGTGAATTTATAGATATTTACTATCTAGAAACAATAAAAAGAAAGCTGAGGATTAGGAATAGCCAGGTGTGATTCATTTATATTGATCTTCATTCTTAGCTTTCCTGAAGGAATCATGGATGGTTCAATGTCAGCGTTACAATTACATTTTTTTCCCCCCAGGAACTTAAGGTGAAGGAACTTACAGTTTGGTTTGCAGGGAAATTTTCTGTTTAATGCAGTAATTATGTTTAAAATCATACGAATTTATTTTTTGTAATAATAACAATTGCAGAATTCAATTCTTTAATTGAATCATCAATTTTTTACTTAAAAGCATATAGCTAACTCGTGTATAGGCTACCTGTCAGTAACTAACAATGCATACCAAAGGTTAAAGGGTATGGTTTAATTCAACAAAGACTTTCCATCATACTCTATTTATGATTTAAAACCCCTGAGATGCTTAAATCTTCTAGATCTTAATAAAATCCTAAAAATGTTTAGAGTGCCTGGTGTTGTCTCCACCTGTATGGAGCAAAGAGTCACACAGTAGTGCAGCAAGTCTTTAAGAAACAGACAGCATGTCAACATACTGCAGGGGGGATACAGCAACAGGTCTGTGCAATAAGCACTTCCAAGCGGCTACCAAATATATCACATGTTTAAAGTATTATTTTTGATTTTGCCTAAGTTTCTAAATCAAAACATAACATAACATTTTGTTTTGTTGAAATCAAAGATTTATATTTTTTAGTAACAAAATTATTGATTATTTTGTGTTTATTATAAGCAGTTAAAGTGTATAGCACAGTTTATTTAAAATCTAAAGTTTAATCAGTAAGAATCTCATACTAGATGCATGTCTAGCCTATACATATGTATAGATATAAAGGTTGAAATTATTTACATTTCAGTTCAATTCCCACTTATTGGCTGAACAAACGAATACCTTACGGAAGTTGTTAAAATCAAGTCAACAGCTTTCTTACATTTTATACTGAGATTTCTAGACAGGAATAGTGGTATTTTTGTATTGCAATTAATAAAAAAAGTCGTTTTTTTATGGAGACACTGTTATTAGGTGTTCTTGT